CTGGCGAGTGGCGAACCCGAGGTGCTTCGATTCCTTAATTCATTGGTTCGCTTTACTGATTCATATGAAAATAATCGACTAGACGGCGGAAAGAACACCATACACGATTGGTCCGTCATATATAATCTCATTAATTTTCTTAAATCACTTTTATCCATCATTAGCTAAAATAAAACTGATAATTATTAATGAAAGATAGTCATGGGTTTCGAAGCTTCGTCAACGATCCGCTCTTACGTCCCCAACCAAACAAGCAGTTGGCTTCCACGGTTAGCACAAGCGTAATACTTCCATTATTTTTTTATTATTATTACTATTATTATTATTATAAATATTATTATTATTATTATTATTATTATTATTATTATTATTATTATTATTATTATTATTATTATTATTATTATTATTATTATTATTATTATTATTATTAATATTACTATTATTTTTATTATTGTTCGACTGATGACTCGCTCTTTGCTCATGAAGAATATCAAAATCATCAAATATTAATTTATTTTTCTTTCTAGGGTGTGTAGAGGGGAGGAAGGGTGTGTGGTATTGGAGGTAGGGTGTGTGGATGGGAGGAGGGGGTGGGTGGGAGGAAGGGTGGGTGGATGGGAGGGAGAGTGTGTGGATGCGGGGAATGGTTTGTTATTTATTTTAGATTGTGTGGCTCTCTGAGGCTGGCTTGAGGTTTACGGCTGACTAGCTGAAGTGAACGGCTGGCTGGCTGAGGTGCATGGCTGGCTGGCTGAGGTGAATGGCTGGCTGGGCTGAGGTGAATGGCTGGCTGGGCTGAGGCGAATATCTGGCTGGCCAAGAACCCCACCAAACAGATCCTCAATGCCAGACAGGCTGCATGTCGTCATTGGCAAGTACTGGGCAAGAACTGGCTCCAGAATGTATCTGCACCTGCGCCAGTGTTGGTCAAGTCTGGTCTTGAAGGAGCTCACTCTCGGTGCTGTCACACTCTCTGGCAGAGTGTGCCAAGAGTTTACAAACTCAGAAAAAGTTTGCCTTGACAATTTTCCGAACTTGTGGCTTCTTCAACCATAAGCTGTGACCACCCGTCCCGCTAGGCTAGTGGGGCACGTCTCCCAGGTATGAACCCTCGACCGAGTAATGTCCTCAGAGTTGTTTATAAACTTCAATTAAGTCGCTCCTTGACTACCTGTAGTATAAGCTAGGCAATTCCTGTACGGGGAGGGATATAAAATTTGCCCCACTTAAGAGTTTGATAAAAATGAAGCAAATATGAAAAGCACTGAGTGTATTGTATGCGGAGATTAAAAATTAACGTGGTATACGGTGCGTGTAAACGGAGAATATGAACAAGTACTGTGTGTACTTGTATTGTACTGTACATATTGCATACGTCCAGCAATCCCTTACTTAACTGTGATTGGTGGACTAAAATGTAAATCCAACTAACAGCCAATAGGAGAACAGAGCAGTCAGTCAGCAAAACACCCCCAACTTATGTTTTCCTGCTGGATATTTATTCTCCTTTACATTGTTCATGGTGAGATGAAACTGGAAATGCGATGGGCGGAGTATTTATTTATTCATATCTTCCATTGTTCTAAATGTGCAAAAACAACTGTCACCACAGTCATTCCAGTGATAGTGCCCCCTGGGGCCCTCCCATTTGCCCTACCAGGTGCGTCGCCCTTAGGGGCTCTCCCAGGGGTGTCGGTTTCCCTAGGGGTCCTGCAAAGGGTATCTGCGCTCCCAGGGGCCTTGCTAGGGGCGGTGGCGCACCCAAAGGCTTTACCAGGTGGGGTGGCGCCCACAGCAGCCATCCCAGGGGCACCGGTGCCCCCAGGGGAACTCTCAGGTGTGGTGGCGCCCCCAGGGGACCGCCAAGAGTTAACGTCGCGCCCAGGGGCTCTTCTTAGGGACAGCGATGCCCCCAGCGGCTCTCCTCAGGATCAGTGGTGCCCCCAGAGGCGGTGGCGCACTTAAGGGCTGCGGTAGCCACAGGGGCCTTTCCAGGGGCCCTACCAGAGGCGTCCCCTGCATGGACACTTATAGGTTTTGATCGTAGTGTCGTCCAGCAATCCCTTACTTAACTATGATTGGTTGACTAAAACGTAAATCCAAGTAACAGCCAATAGGAGAACAGAGCAGTCAGTCAGCACAACACCCCAACTTATGTTTTCCTGCTGGATATTTATTCTCCTTTACATTGTTCATGGTGAGATGAAACTGGAAATGCGATGGGCGGAGTATTTATTTATTCATATCTTCCATTGTTCTAAATGTGCAAAAAACAACTGCCCCCACGGTTAATCCAGTGATAGTGCGCCCTAGGCCTCCCATTTGCCTTTTGCACAGGTGCGTCACCTAGCTCTCACAGGGGTGTGGTGCCCCAGGAACCTGGCAAAGGTGGCGGCCCCAGGGGCTCCCACCTGGGGCGGTGGCGCACCCAGGGTCCTTCCCAGGGTTCCACAGTGTCCCTCCCAGAGGCACCGGTGCCCCCAGGGGACCTCTCAGGTGTGGTGGCGCCCACAGGGGCCCGCCAAGGGCTAATGTCGCCCCCAGGGGACCGCCAAGGGGTAACATCACCCAGAGGGGACCGCCAAGGGGTAATGTCGCCCACAGGGGCTCTTCTTAGGGGCATCGATGCCCCCAGGGGCTCTCGTCAGGGTTAGCGGTGCCCCCAGGTGACCTTCCATAGGCGGTGGCGCCCCAAGGGGTGACGGTACCCTCAGGGGCCTTCCCAGGGGCCCTACCAAAGGCGCCCACTACCTTGAGACCTATAGCTTTTGGGGGTAGTGTCGTCCATATTGCATACGTCCAGCAATACCTTACTTAACTGTGATTGGTGGACTAAAATGTAAATGCAAATATCAGCCAATAGGACAACAGAGCAGTCAGTCAGCACAACACCCCAACTTATGTTTTCCTGTTGGATATTTATTCTCTTTTACATTGTTCATGGTGTGATGATACTCGAAATGCGATGGGCGGAGTATTTATTCATATGTCCCATTGTTCTAAATGTGCAAAAACAACTGCCCCCACGGTCAATTCAATGATAGTGCCCCCTAGGTCCCTCCCATTTACCCTACCAGGTGCGTCGCCGTAGGGGCTCTTCCAGGGGTGTCGGTGCCTCCAGGGGCCCTGCAAAGGGTGTCGGTGCTCCAAGGGGCCCTGTTAGGGGCGGTGGCGCACCCAGGGGCCTTCCCAGGTGCGGTGGCACCCACAGGGTCCCTCCCAGGGGCACCGGTGGCCCCAGAAGGTCTCTCAGGTGTTGTGGCGCCCACAGGAGCCCGCCAAGGGCTAACGTCGCCCCCAGGGGACCGCCAAAGGGTAACGTCGCCCCCAGTCGCTCTTCTGTGGTCAGCTATGCCTCCAGGGGCTCTCCTCAGGGTCACCGGTGCCCCCAGGCGATCTCTTAGGCATGGTGGCGCCCCCAGGGACCCGCCAAGGGGTAACATCGCCCCCAGGAGCTCTTCTTAGGGGCAGAGCGATGCCCCCAGGGTCTCCCCTCACGGTCAGCCGTGCCTCCAGGGGTCCTTCCAGAGCAGGTGGCGCCCCAAGGGGCAGCGGTACCCTCAGGGGCCTTCTCAGGGGCCCTACCAGAGGCGTCCCTTACCTGGAGACCTATAGCTTTTGCTGGAAGTGTCGTACATATTGCATACGTCCAGCAATCCCTTACTTAACTGTGATTGGTGACTAAAATATAAATGCAAATATCAGCCAATAGGAGAACAGAGCAGTCAGTCAGCACAACACCCCAACTTATGTTTTCCTGTTGGATATTTATTCTCCTTTACATTGTTCATGTTGTGATGATACTCGAAATGCGATGGGCGGAGTATTTATTCATATCTCCCATTGTTCTATATATGTGCAAAAACAACTGCCCCCACGGTCATCCAATGATAGTGCCCCCTGGGTTCTCTCCCATGTGCCCTGCACCAGATGCGTCGCTTTTTAGGGACTCTCACAGGGGTGTCGGTCAGGGTCCCTGGCAAGGGTGGCGGCGCTCCCAGGGGCCCTACTTGGGGCGGTGGCGCACCCAGGGGCCTTCCCAGTTGCGGTGGCGCCCACAGTGTCCCTCCCAGAGGCACCGCTACCCCCAGGGGACCTCTCAGGTGTGGTGGCGCCCACAGGGGCCCGCCAAGGGCTAATGTCGCCCCCAGGGGACCGCCAAAGAGTAACGTCGCCCCCAGGGGACCGCCAAGGGGTAACGTCGCCCCCAGTGGCTCTTCTTTGGGGCAGTGATGGCCCCAGGGGCTCTCCTCAGGGTAAGTGGTGCCCCTAGGGGTTCTCTCAGGTATGGTGGCCCCCCCCCCAAGGGCCTGCCATGGGGTAACGCCGCCTCCAGGGGCCCGACAAGGGGTAACGTTGACCCCAGGGGACCGCCAAGGGGTAACGTCGCCCATAGGGGCTCTTCTTAGGAGCAGCGAGGACCCCAGGGGCTCTCAGGGTCAGCGGTGCCCCCAGGGGACCTGCCAGAGGCGGTGGCGCCCCAAGGGGCGACGGTACCTTCAGGGGCCTTCCCAGAGGCCCTACCAGAGGCGTCCCCTGCCTGGAAACCTACAGCTTTTGGTCGTAGTGTCGTACATATTGCATACGTCCAGCAATCCCTTACTTAACTGTGATTGGTGGACTAAAATGTAAATGCAAATATCAGCCAATAGGAGAACAGAGCAGTTAGGCAGCACAACACCCCAACTTATGTTTTCCTGTTGGATATTTATTCTCCTTTACATTGTTCATGGTGTGATGATACTCGAAATGCGATGGGCGGAGTATTTATTCATATCTCCCATTGTTCTAAATGTGCAAAAACAACTGCCCCCACGGTCAATCCAGTGATAGTGCCCCCTGGGTCCCTCCCATGTGCCCTACCAGGTGCGTCGCTCTTAGGGGCTCTGACAGGGGTGTCGGTGCCCTCAGGGTCCCTGGCAAGGGTGGCGGCGCTCCCAGGGGCCCTACCTGGGGCGGTGGCGCACCCAGGGGCCTTCTCAGGTGCGGTGGCGCCCACAATGTCCCTCCCAGAGGCACCGGTGCCCCCCAAGGGACCTCTCAGGTGTGGTAGCACCCCCCGGCGCCGGCCAAAAGGTAACGTCGCCCTTAGGGGCCCGCCAAGGGGTAACGTCGCCCACAAGGGCTCTCCTTATGGGCAGCGATGCCCCCAGGGGCTCTCCTCAGGGTTAGCGGTGCCCCCAGGGGACCATCCAAAAGCAGTGGCGCCCCAAGGGGCGACGGTACCCTTGGAGGCCTTCCCAGGGGCCCTAACAGAGGCCTCCACTACCTGGAGACATATAGCTTTAGGTCGTAGTTTCGTACGTATTGCATACGTCCAGCAATCCCTTACTTAACTGTGATTGGTGGACTAAAATGTAAATGCAAATATCAACCAATAGGAGAACATAGCAGTCAGTCAGCACAACACCCTAACTTATGTTTTCCTGTTGGATATTTATTCTCCTTTACATTGTTCATGGTGTGATGATACTGGAAATGCGATGGGCGGAGTATTTATTCATATCTCCCATTGTTCTAAATGTGCAAAAACAACTGCCCCCACGGTTAATCCAGTGATAGTGCGCCCTAGGGCCCTCCCATTTGCCTTACCAGGTGCGTCACTCTTAGGGGCTCTCACAGGGGTGTTGGTGGCCCCAGGGAACCTGGCAAAGGTGGCGGCGCTCCCAAGGGCCCTACCTGGGGCGGTGGCGCACCCAGGGTCCTTCCCAGGTGTGGTGGCCCCAGAGGGTCCCTCCCAGGGGCACCGGTGCCCCCAGGGGACCTCTCAGGTATGGTTGCGCCTCCAGGCGCCGGCCAAGGGGTAACGTCGCCCCCAGGGGACCGCCAAGGGGTAACATCACCCAGAAGGGACCGCCAAGGGGTAATGTCGCCCACAGGGGCTCTTCTTAGGGGCATCGATGCCCCCAGGGGCTTTCGTCAGGGTTAGCGGTGCCCCCAGGGGACCTTCCTTAGGCGGAGGCGCCCCAAGGGGCGACGGTACCCTTGGGGGCCTTCCCATGGGCCCTACCAGAGGCCTCCACTACCTGGAGACATATCGCTTTAGGTCATAGTTTCGTACGTATTGCATACGTCCAGCAATCCCTTACTTAACTGTGATTGGTGGACTAAAATGTAAATGCAAATATCAACCAATAGGAGAACAGAGCAGTCAGTCAGCACAACACCCTAACTTATGTTTTCCTGTTGGATATTTATTCTCCTTTACATTGTTCATGGTGTGATGATACTGGAAATGCGATGGGCGGAGTATTTATTCATATCTTCCATTGTTCTAAATGTGCAAAAACAACTGCCCCCACGGTTAATCCAGTGATAGTGCGCCCTAGGGCCCTCCCATTTGCCTTACCAGGTGCGTCACTCTTAGGGGCTCTCACAGGGGTGTCGGTGCCCCCAGGGAACCTTGCAAAGGTGGCGGTGCTCCCAGGGGCCCTACCTGGGGCGGTGGCGCACCCAGGGTCCTTCCCAGGTGTGGTGGCCCCAGAGGGTCCCTCCCAGGGGCACCGGTGCCCCCAGGGGACCTCTCAGGTGTGGTTGCGCCTCCAGCCGCCGGCCAAGGGGTAACGTCGCCCCCAGGGGACCGCCAAGGGGTAACATCACCCAGAGGGGACCGCCAAGGGGTAATGTCGCCCACAGGGGCTCTTCTTTGGGGCATCGATGCCCCCAGGGGCTCTCGTCAGGGTTAGCGGTGCCCCCAGGGGACCTTCCATAGGCGGTGGCGCCCCAAGGGGCGACGGTACCCTCAGGGGCCTTCCCAGGTGCCCTACCAGAGGCGTCCCCTACGTGGAGACCTATAGCTTTGGTGGTAGTGTCATACATATTGCATACGTCCAGCAATCCCTTACTTAACTGTGATTGGTGGACTAAAATGTAAATGCAAATATCAGCCAATAGGAGAACAGAGCAGTCAGTCAGCACAACACCCCAACTTATGTTTTCCTGTTGGATATTTATTCTCCTTTACATTGTTCATGGTGTGATGATACTGGAAATGCGATGGGCGGAGTATTTATTCATATCTCCCATTGTTCTAAATGTGCAAAAACAACTGCCCCCACTGTCAATCCAGTGATAGTGCGCCCTAGGGCCCTCCCATTTGCCTTACCAGGTGCGTCACTCTTAGGGGCTCTCACAGGGGTGTTGGTGGCCCCAGGGAACCTGGCAAAGGTGGCGGCTCTCCCAGGGGCCCTACCTGGGGCGGTGGCGCACCCAGGGTCCTTCCCAGGTGTGGTGGCCCCAAAGGGTCCCTCCCAGGGGCACCGGTGCCCCCAGGGGACCTCTCAGGTGTGATTGCGCCTCCAGGCGCCGGCCAAGGGGTAACGTCGCCCCCAGGGGACCGCCAAGGGGTAACATCACCCAGAGGGGACCGCCAAGGGGTAATGTCGCCCACAGGGGCTCTTCTTAGGGGCATCGATGCCCCCAGGGGCTCTCGTCAGGGTTAGCGGTGCCCCCAGGGGACCTTCCATAGGCGGTGGCGCCCCAAGGGGCGACGGTACCCTCAGGGGCCTTCCCAGGGGCCCTACCAAAGGCGCCCACTACCTGGAGACCTATAGCTTTTGGGGGTAGTGTCGTCCATATTGCATACGTCCAGCAATACCTTACTTAACTGTGATTGGTGGACTAAAATGAAATGCAAATATCAGCCAATAGGAGAATAGAGCAGTCAGTCAGCACAACACCCCAACTTATGTTTTCCTTTTGGATATTTATTCTCCTTTACATTGTTCATGGTGTGATGATACTGGAAATGCGATGGGCGGAGTATTTATTCATATCTCCCATTGTTCTAAATGTGCAAAAACAACTGCCCCCACGGTCAATCCAGTGATAGTGCGCCCTGGGGCACTCCCATTTGCCCTACCAGGTGCATCGATCTTGGGGCTCTCCCAGGGGTGTCAGCGACCCCAGGGGCCCTGACAAGGGTGTCGGCAATCCCAGGAGCCCTGCCAGGGGCGGTGGCGCACCCAGGGGCCTTCCCAGGTGCGGTGGCGACCACAGGTTTCCTCTCAAGGGCACCGGAGCCCCCAGGGGACCTCTCAGGTGTGGTGGCGCCCTCAGGTGCCCTCCAAGGGGTAACGTTTCCCACAGGTGCCCGCCAAGAGGTAACGTTGCCCCCATGGGACCGCCAAGGGGTAACGTCACCCCCAGGGGACCGCCAAGGGGTAACGTCACCCCCAGGGGCTCTCCTCAGGGGCACTGGTGCCCCCAGGGGAGCTCTCAGGTGTGGTGGCGCGCCCATGGGCACGCCAAGGAGTAACGTCGCCCCCAGGGGCTCTTCTTATGGGCAGCGATGCCCCTAGGGCCTCCCCTCAGGGTCAGTAGTACCCCCAGGGGACCTTCCAGAGGTGGTGGCGCCCCAAGGGGCGGCGCTACCCTCATGGGCCTTCCCAGGTGCCCTACCACAGGCGTTCCCTAACTGGAGACCTATAGCTTTTGGTGGTACTGTCTAGCATATTGCATACGTCCAGCAATCCCTTACTTAACTGTGATTGGTGTACTAGAATGTAGATGCAAATATCAGCCAATAGGAGAACAGAGCAGTCAGTCAGCACAACACCACAACTTATGTTTTCCTGTTGGATATTTATTCTCCTTTACATTGTTCATGGTGTATCAGGAAATGCGATGGCCGGAGTATTTATTCATATCTCCCATTGTTCTAAATATTAAAAAACAACTGCCCCCACGGTCAATCCAGTTATAGTCCACCCTGGGGCCCTCCCATTTGCCCTACCAGGTGCGTCGCCCTAGGGGCAGTCCCATGGGTGTCAGTTTCGCCAGGGGCCCTGGGAAGGGTGGCGGCTATCCCAGGGGCCCTGCCAGGGGCGGTGGCGCACCCAGGGGCCTTCCCAGGTGCGGTGGCGCCCACAGGGTCCCTTTCAGGGGCACCTGTGTCCCCAGGGGACCTCTCAGGTGTGGTGGCGCGCCCAGGGGCCGGCCAAGGGATAAGATTGCCCCAGGGGATCTTCTTTTGGGTAGCGATGCCTCCAGGGGCTCTTCTTTTGGGCAGCGATGCCCCTAGGGGCTCTCCTAAGGGGCACCGGTGCCCCTAGGGGAGCTGTCAGGTGTGGTGGCACCCCAGGGGCCCGCCAAGGTGTAACGTCGCCCACTGTCGCTCTTCTTAGGGGCAGCCATGCTCCCAAGGGTCCTTCTAGAGGCCGTGGCGTCCCAAGGGGTGGCGATACCCTCAGGAGCCTTCCCAAGTGCCCTACCAGAGGCTTCCCATACCTGGAGACCTATAGCTTTTGGTGGTAGTGTCGTACATATTGCATACGTCCAGCAATCCCTTACTTAACTGTGATTGGTGGACTAAAATGTAAATCCAAAAAACAGCCAATAGGAGAACAGAACAGTCAGTCATCACAACACCCCAACTTATGTTTTCCTGTTGGATATTTATTCTCCTTTACATTGTTCATGGTGTGATGATACTGGAAATGCGATGGGCGGAGTATCTATTCATATATCCCATTGTTCTAAATGTGCAAAAACAACTGTCCCCACTGTCAATCCAGTGATAGTGCCCGCTGGGTCCCTCCCATTTGCCCTACCAGGTGCGTCGCCCTAGGGGCTCTCCCAGGTGTGTCGCTGCCCCCAGGGGCTCTGCCAGTGGCGGTGGGGCACCTAGGGGCCTTCCCAGGTGCGGTGGCGCCCATAGGATCCCTCGCAAAGGCACCGGTGCCCCCAGAGGACCTCTTAGGTGTGCTGGCGCCCTCCTAGGGGCCCGCCAAGGCGTAACGTCGCCCCCAGGGAACCGCCAAGGCGTAACGTTTCCCCCAGGGGACCGCCAAGGGGTAACATCGCCTCCAGCGGACCGCCAAGGGGTAACGTCGCCCCCAGGGGACCGCCAAGGGGTAACGTCGCCCCCAGGGGCTCTTTTTTGGGGCAGCGATACTCCCAGGGACTCCTCAGGGGCATCGGTGCCTTCAGGGGAGCTCTCAGGTGTGGTGGCGCCCCCAGGGGTCCGCCAAGGGGTCACGTCGTCAGCAGGGGCTCTTCTTAGGCGCACCGATGCCCCCAGAGGCTCCCCTCAGGGTCAGCCATGCCCCCAGGGGACCTTCCATTGGCGGGGACGCCCCAAGGGGCGGCGGTACCCTCAGGGGCCTTCCCAGGTGCCCTACCAGAGGCGTCCCCTACGTGGAGACCTATAGCTTTGGTGGTAGTGTCATACATATTGCATACGTCCAGCAATCCCTTACTTAACTGTGATTGGTGGACTAAAATGTAAATGCAAATATCAGCCAATAGGAGAACAGAGCAGTCAGTCAGCACAACACCCCAACTTATGTTTTCCTGTTGGATATTTATTCTCCTTTACATTGTTCATGGTGTGATGATACTGGAAATGCGATGGGCGGAGTATTTATTCATATCTCCCATTGTTCTAAGTGTGCAAAAACAACTGCCCCCACGGTCAATTCAATGATAGTTCCCCCTAGGTCCCTCCCATTTACCCTACCAGGTGCGTCGCCCTAGGGGCTCTCCCAGGGGTGTCGGTGCCTCCAGGGGCCCTGCAAAGGGTGTCGGTGCTCCCAGGGGCCCTGTTAGGGGAGGTGGCGCACCCAGGGGCCTTCCCAGGTGCGGTGACACCCACAGG